AAAGGTCTTGGAAATTAGGTTTTAAATTTGTAATTAAATTATTTTTTTTCTCTCAAATAAAAACCACAAAAAGTACATAAAATCTTTTTTTATAAAATATTTTATTTTCTTGAATTATTTAATTTAGTTTAAATTAGGTTAATTTCAATTTCTTTTTATAATTAAAAATAATTAGAATTAGGGTTTTAATTGTACATAACCTAATTAAGTATTTTCTCAAAAATGATTTAAATATTTTTTTCAATTAGATTTTTAGGGTTTTCAATTTTTTCTCGCATTTAATTTGCCGCGCGCATATTAATTCTTTTTATCATTATTGTAATTGTTTCGAGGTTGTAATAGTAATTAGGGTTTTAAGCTTCCGCATTTTTATTTTCTGTCAAGATGACTATGTAACTGCCAAAGCCTTGTAATAGCTAGGTTTATTTTCTCCCACTTTAAATTCCTACAAATATTTAACTGTTAGATGCATGGTTAATAGGATTGTATGGGAAGATTACTTGAAATTAAAACGGTAGATCACCTAATATGCAAAGACTAAATTAAACTGAAAAATTCACATGCACATATTCACTCCTAGGGTTTGCCTCACTTCGGTTGCCTTCGGTAAACAATCATTAAGCATAGGAGATTTTAGTGGCTGCCCTCTAGTCTAAAAGATCAAAATGACCCATTCGAATGTCGCCTCGGAAATGTCGCCTCTGAAAGATCTTAAGACTCTAGGGTTATTACTAAGGTTCCCAACCCATTGCTTTAGTGGTTTAATTGTCCCTTTCGAATGTCCCTTACAAACTCCAACGACGGGGCTACCTACTCCTTAATAGTAGGATAGCGCTATCTAAAGGAAACGAGAATGAACAATCTTTTTTCGAGTAGGCAGAATCTTAAGTACTTGCTCAACAAAACTTATCACACAAACACCTTTCAAAACAAATTTTCAAAACAAACTTCGTCACACCCTTGAGGACTGATACAAGGGTTATCACGAAGTAAAACTTTTCAAAGCAAGCACACACACAAGAAATTTTTTTAAAAGATGAGCAAGTACCTAAGATCCCATGGAAAACCATGGATAGAAAGGGTGCTAACACCTTACCTTTCTATAATCTACCCCCCGTACTCAGAATATCTCGAAAAAAGGTTTTTTTCTGTTCCTTTTCCTTGATTTGATGAAATAAAAGTCGGTGGCAACTCTTGCTTACCGCGACATTTTGCAAACAAAAAAATGCAAAATGTAAACCAATATTTAACAGTCAGTTCTGCCGCCGTATCACAAAGAGCAATAGAAGATTCCCTCTAAATTTAAAACATACAACTAACATTTCCATGAAGGTACAAGTTGATGATTCATGGCTCTGGCATCGAAGATCTGGCCACTTCAACACACATATCTTAAAGTTGTTACATGAGAAGAATGTGATGAGAGTTTTCCAAACATAAAGGAGAAAAATGAAGTGTCTGAAGGGTGTCTCCTTGGTAAGCAACACCAATTTTCGTTCTCAACAAGCGGAGCATGGAGAGAAAAAGGTCTGTTAGAGCTAATTCATACTGATGTCTATGGACCGATGAGGATGCCATCACACAAGAACAACAGGTACTACATACTCTTTATTGACGACTTCTCTAGAATGACATGAGTCTATTTCCTAAAAGAAAAATCAGAAGTCTTTGGAGCAGGAAAAAGAATTTTAAGGTATCTACAAGGAACAAAAGAGTTTGGTATATGGTACACTACCGAAACCAACTCAGGATTACTTGGCTACACCAATAGTGATTGGGAAGGTTAGATAGATGACATGAAGAGCACCTCTGGATATGCTTTTTCACTAGGATCAAGAATTTTCTCTTGGGCGTCGAAGAAGCAAGCTACAGTTGCACAATCAACAACAGAAGCAGAGTATGTAGTTGTTGCTGAAGTAAAGAGTCAAGCTATATGGCTTCGCAGGATACTTGAAGACATTGTTGAAAAACAAGATGATCCTACTAAAGTTAATTGTGACAACAAATCAACAATTGCAATGGCGGAAATTCTAGTGCATCCCAGTAGAACAAAACACATAACAATCAAGTATCACTTTATTAGAGAAGCTGGAGCAACTAAGGAGATCAAACTCGACTACTGCAGAATAGAAGAACAAATTGCAAACATATTCATGAAGGTGTTACAGAGACCAAGATATGAAGAGCTGCGAACTATGCTTGGAGTTAGAGAAATTTGCATCAAGGAGGAGTATTGAAATTGCTATAAATTTCTAGAATATTCTAAATATAATATGTATGGTAATGGTAGAATACCCTAGAAATTATAGTTGTATGAGTATGGTGAATAATCTAGAACTATAAGTGTATGTAAAAGATAGAAGAACCTAGAACTATCATGATACTAACATATCATGAAAACTCTAGAAAAATCTAAAGTAATATAGAAACATTCACCACCATTGAGAGGTTGATGACTTGAGCCTTTAAATAGGCATTTGGTATCTTGTAATGTATAATCCAAGAAATCAATGACATAGTCTTATTTCTAAACAACTCTCTAAAACTATCTTCTATCAACTATCAACTACACCACTACTAACAGATTGATAGGCTATGGTCATGCATGCCTCCTCGGAAAGGATAATTTATTGATTTTTTTTTTGCAGGTACTAGTAGCGAGGAGTTTTATTTAAAATAAGTTTTCAATGAAGTATCAGGTTTCGATTTGGATAATGAAGTTGATGATGGTTGGAATTCAATCTAGAGGCTGCATGTTCCTGAAAGATGCAGAAGTTTTATTTGGTTACTCAACCATGACATGTTGCTTACAAACTACAATAAGAGTAGGAAAGGGCTTGGTACCGCTACATGAAAATTATGTGGTAATTCATGTGAGACAACTTTGCATGCATTACGTGATTGTTCTAAATTCATGCATGTTTGGATGAGTATTGTGCCAAGCAGCATCATGGGGGATTTCTTCAATGTGGATCTTAGTACTTGGATCAAGTTGAACATCAAATACCATGGAGAATTCAATAAGGAGTGGAGTAGCATATGGGCTATTATTTGTCATGCTTTGTGGAGTTGGAGAAATAAAGAAGAGCATGTAGAAGACTATGGGAGACCTCTTGATCCAATCCTCCATCTTCTTAAGAGGAAACATGATTACAATAATGCGTGTATTATCTTTAAAAAAACACTCAGGATTGGATACTCACAATAGACTTCTCGGTTGGAGGCCTCCTAATCCAAGTGTGGTTAAGTTGAATACCGATGGAGCTAGGAAGGATGATAAGAATGCAAGTTGTAGAGGATTAATTAGAGACCATAAAAGGTGTTGGGTTAGTGGTTACTATAAGAATTTGAGATCCTGTAGTGTATTATTAGCAGAGTTTTTGGGCGTGTATGAAGGTCTTCGAATTACTAGAGATTTGGATCTGATGAGGGTGGAGGTTAATATCGATTCTCAGATGGTGGTTAATGCTATTAAAGATAGTAATATCAACAACAAGCGGAGTGTAGAGCATTATTTCGGGATAATTGTCACTTAATTCAGGAACATGAAACTGTGATAGTCTCTCATAGTTTCAGGGAAATAAATAAGTGCGCAAATGCTCTTGCAAACATTGGTTGCTCTCAAAACCAATTTTGCATTTATGATAAAACCCCAAATATTTTGAGGTCTCTTCTGGACGATGATTCATTAGGATTACACACCCCAAGGGGGTTTAGTTTTGTTCTTTTTCTTTTTAAGCTTTGACCATCTCTTGTATAAAAAAAATTCAAACATTAAATACTACATGTCAAATAATAATTAAAAACTTGAATTAAATTAAATTACTCTTAATTTAAATATACGCATTTAAATTAAATTACTCTTAATTGGATCATTTATTATAAGACGAATGGAAATTTTTTAATCTTAATTACTTCTTAAATCTCTTAAGTTAACATTACTAACATAAGTCAACCACCATCTCATTATATAAAAGATAAATTTATACTTTAATTAGAGCTTTAAACCCCTATCAACTTTTCTAGAATAATGGAGTTAACCACTTGATTTCACTAAAATTTAATCCTACCCTAACCCCTATCCCAACCTATCTCATATATACACATGTGGGATAAGACTCCATGTCATCATCAGGTTAACTATTACAAACTTATACTAAAATTGACATCACTTAGTTCTACCAAAGGAGTATCTACATCTAGGTTTTCCGAGCTCTCCATATACTATATAGAATCAAAACTCATAAATGAACAAAGGAAGAAAAAGACAATACCTTATATTAATGTAGGTTGCGTAACGTCCTAAATTGCCTTTGGAATTATCGACCGATCCTATAAATCAACACGAGTCTTTTCAGCATTTTTGACCTCACTCACACGCTTTCTGAGAAACTACTCAGAGGATCACCTATCTCAAATATGAAAAGGTTTGGATGTGAAAAAGAATTTCAAATTTCCGCTTTATAGACACAACAATTGATAATTCACAAAACTCGTATTACATTAAATTCTTTTTTTTTTCTATTTTATTTTATTTCTGTATATTTTTGAAAAAAATTAAAAAAATTTATAGACATTTAATTTAATTTAATTTAATTTAATTTATAGTTGTATTTTCAGGTTTTTATAATTTATTTTAATCATTTTTCTATTTTTCAATTAATTTTCTATAAAAATCATTGATATTTACATATTTATTGCAATGTTGATATATGATTACTAAGTGTGCCTATCTATACACATCAAATACTAAATTTTTAAAAAAATATAATAGAGTACTTTTCAAATATAAATATTCAAAAATATATTTTTTATAAAAAAATAAGATTTATTCAAAGATATATATGAAAAAAAGTCTAAAGGGGGGAAATTGTCGGAAAAAATGGCAATAACTAGTAAATTAGAATGGGCTTGATTGAAGGGCAAGGGCCAAGTGAATCCAAGCAAAGACGTTAATAGTGTTTAGGGCAACACAAGAGCGAGCAGAGGAAGAAGAAAAAATGGCGAGTGAGAAGAACAAGGTAAAGCGAAAAGGAAATGATGAAAACGACGACGACAGAACCAAAAAGAAAAACAAAAGTACCGAATCAAACGAAGACCCACTGCGTTTCTTCGTGAATCAATTCCAAGCTGCGAACGGTGTACACCTCTCTTCCATCGAACTGGAATCCCTGAAAGACTCAAGCATTTTGAAGCTATCAAATTCTGAAGCTACAGATACTGATTTAGATGTGAAATTCATGGCGGGTGATGTTAAAGCTTCGTTTGGCGATTCATGGAGAAAGGTTCTTTGTGAGAGTGATCTTGTCGAAGGGAAAATTGTTGCTGGTAGTCCTTCTGTTCTTGTTGTGTCTTACTCTGCTTTGAGATCTATACATCTTTTGAAAGGGTTTCGGTCTGTTACGAAACTCTGTAGTTCTGTTAAGTTGTTTTCCAAGCATATCAAACTTCAACAACAGGTTCATTTCTTTCTTCGCTGATTTCTGTTTCAAATATTTGCTTATTAACTTAGTTTATGTGAAATGTGAAATTTGATTTTGAATGAATTCATTGCCTGTGTTTCGATTGTAGTGCATTTTTCCTCATTTCATCTGTTTTCTCTGCTTTGCATCATGCACTAGCATTGATTTTGCCTTATAAACTATGCAGATTTCTTTGTTGAAAAACCGTGTTAACATTGCTAGCGGCACGCCAAGCAGGTTGGTCTTATATCCTTTCCTTAAGTCAAATTTTGTTTTCTCAGTTTTTGTTTTTTTGGTGATTAGATTATACTTAATCTTGTACATTACTCTGAATCAAATGCAGGATTAAGAAGCTCATTGACATTGAGGCGTTGGGCCTTTCAAGGTTAAAAGTACTTGTGCTTGATATTCATCCCGATGTAAAGGGCTTTTCCTTGTTTACCCTTCCACAAGTCAGGTATGTATACTAGTTTCAATTCTATAAAGCATAACCCTCTTAAGCTCATAAAATTACATTGAAATTACCACCTTTTTTGTGAAGCTAACCTTATTGATGTGGCTGGCAGAGATGAATTTTGGGACTTGTTCAAGAATTATTTCTATCAACCAATGATTCAAGGTGATCTGCGCATCTGTCTCTACGGTCCATGCAAACCGGCTGCTGGTTTTAAAGGCAAAAAGGGAGTTCCCGTTCCTGATGAATAAGTTTTACAGTCGTATACTTACATTATCTTTAACTGCCGTCTGCTTTAGCGTCGAGCTTTCGTAGTCGTGAGTTCATGTTGAATGTGAAACAAAACAGAGTAAATGACAAAGCGCGGGTGTTTAACACTTAACTAGACTTCTTTATGTGATTTTCAATCTAGAGTTCTAGCTATATCATCACAAAGAAACACTTGCCAATTCTTACAAGCTCTCTTTCAATTTAGTATACTTTTTTATAAGGATGCCATTTTTGTGCACAAGTGAGTTAGGTGATGTATCATGCACTACTTATACTTTGATCTGTTGTTAGATTGAATAGGACATTTTTTCCTAAATGGTTTTTTTTATTGGATCTACAGTTTCATGGCAGTTTTTTCATAAAAATTGCAACATTAATAACGGTTCTTCTTTCCCTGTTTTCTGGAATTCATTCTTCTCGCCCCTTGTTCTTGAAACTCTCATTCTTCTCATCTCTTCTTTCATCAGCTCCACGGCTGTTGTTCTTTCTCTTTTTCTTCTCAGCTCTTCTTTCATCAGCTCCACGACCCTGAATCGAGCATCTTCAGCCATGAAATAGGCAGCTTGCATAGCACACAATACATGAACCTGGCTCATCTGGGTTATAGATAGATAGATAGATATACAAATAAATTTGTGAAACTTGTTTCAAAAGCATTGCTAAATGCCTCATAAACTAAGTTGAGAGATGTCATGAAATACTTGCCTGCTCAGTTAAGCCGTTCATGGCTCGCCTATCCCAGTACATCAGCTAATTTTAATAGTTTTAAAAAGGGTTTACCAACTGGGCTTTAAAGTTTCTTATCAACTGAGCTTAATGAGCTATCTGAGCTTACTGACCTTGTTAAGCTATCTGAGCTATATGACTAGTGTTTCTTAGTAACTTTTCTTTCGGAACGGCCCTCCCGGTGCTATCTTATCATTTTCGTTGTAGAAATTATATGTTGTTAGAGTTTAATTGCTTTCATAGAACCAATCAGAATCTAAGAGTATTGAGTCAAAGGTTCCGAAAAAAGCAGATTCAGATACCTGAGAGTGAGTATTGAAATTATATTTGCACATAAAATCAATTTAAATGTTCGGCATGTAAAATTAGTTTTGACTTTCGAATACATTCTATCCTACATAAGGTTGCCAATAGATATAAATCACTTGATTTATCTTAATCTTGACCGAATTTGAGTTAATTAAACTCTAAAGGAAAGAGGAAAAAGAAATAAGTACTAGTTAGCAAATAGCTTTAAAAAAGTCATTGAAAATATAAACATGATTGGAGAAAAGAGAGTAAAGGGATAACACGAGAAATACACCAAGTATTTAGCAAGTACATAACCTACCAGACAACACAATTCTGATCTAGATTAGGCCTATATTTGCCTCAGGCAGCACAATTCTGATCTAGATTAGGCCTGTATTTGCTTCACTGCTGGGAGGCCTAATCCAACACCCTTGCATAAGACCTAAAGGCAAGCAACCCAAATCGGAGATCGTTGGATAACTCCCCACGCGTCCGTTGGGAAACGTGACCCACATGTCTGTATCATTGTCATCATAGCTGTCTTCTGGAAATCACGGGTTTATCAGGGAAAGTCCACGTGCTGGATTTCATACACACGTAAGTCTTGACAGTCTTCATTGTTGGACCTCATCGTGGCCTAACATTGGGGACCTTGGCCCAGCGTTGTGGCCTATAAATACTCTCTCATTTGAGAGGGTCATATATTCATTCTCTTATACTCATACTCACACTTGCTTGCACTCTCTCTGAAACTTACTTTGACATCAGAGTGTCTTGCAGGTATCTCCCATCTCGCTTTCAACTTCAGCTCGACGTAAGGTCTTGACGATCCATTCTGGTCAGGTGCGATCAGTGGCGTCATATGTGGGAAACTAGTTTCACCGTCTTTCATTTACCTAAAATAAAACAACTCCAAATTCTTAATGGTCGACCCAGTTTCCAACAACATCTTAGACGCCCATCTCGCCGACCCCGACAACAACGTCGTTGGCAACTTGAGCAACAACAACAGCAACAACAACGAGAATAACGACGACGTGGACAGTCTCATGCAGAATTACAAAGACGACATGACTGCCTCTTCCTCATCACGCTCTCGACCACACGAGGGCACCCCTCCGTCCTAGAACTATGATCTGAACGTTTTCCAGGAGGTCCCCGTTCCCCCGGACGTTGATCCCACGACCAGGGCTCTGTTCTCAGCAATTAACCAGACGAATTACCTCATCTTCTCGCAAGGTGAGCGACTAAGGGTGCTCGAGGACTCTCGTCAAGCCCCCAGAAGACATAGAAGGCCCGACACCCCTCCTCCTCGTCAGGACGAAGACCGTCTTCAATCTCCCCCGCATAGACACAGACGAGACAGGTCGTGAAGCCCCCACCTCCTCGCCAGAACGAAGACCGTCTTCAATCTCCCCCGCGGAGACACAGCTGGGATAGGTCACAGAGCCTCTCTCCCCGACGGACTGGACGATGCCTCGCGCTGGAGAGAACCATGCCCGAAGCTGCTGGGAGACACGATCTCACCCCCCCCCCCCCCCCCCCCCCCACCCACGCAGGGAACAACGATCCCCTGAAAACAGAAATAGGGGCAACGTAGAAGCGTATCTTTGACCAAGGGATCGTCCCCGAGGCCAAGGACACCACTACGACCGCCACTATAACCGGTCTCCTCCCCCCCCCCCCCCCCTACAGGAGCGGCGAAGACGATCCCCGCGGTCCTTTATCACAAGCAATCATGGAGGCGTCCATTCCCAAAGATATGAAGAAGCCTCCTCAACTGAAGGAGTATCATGGCATTGCTGACCCATTCGACCACATCGACAGGTTCGAAGCAATGCTCCATTATCATAACATCGCAGGGCCAATCAAGTGTCGGTTGTTCCCCACGACCTTGAGGAAAACTGCGATGGACTGGTATAAAAATATCCCCCAGGGTCGATCACCTCTTGGAGGAACCTGAAGAACCAGTTCACAATCTCCTTTACAGCGTCTCGTCGACACCCGAAGACCAAGATCGCCCTTGAGGCTATCGTCCAAAGAAACGATGAAGCCCTCGGGGAGTTTATTGATCGGTTAAACTGCAAGGCCATTCATGACCCGTGCACCGATCACATGAAGAGATATTTGCTCGAAAGAGGATTCCTCCCGGGCATAGAGTTCAGGAAGGCCGTTGGAATCGAACCACCCCGTACTTTCGATGCTCTCCTTGAGAAAGCTAGGACCTATATGGACTACGAGGAGAGGGAAGCGGCCAACAAAGCCCGCGACCCAAGGAATCATAGATCGCAACCAACACTTTGCGACACCAGGATGCAGCCCCTCCTCGATGAATGGGCGAGAAAAGGAGGGATGACAAACTACGGGATCCCTGTAACCACAGAGGACCCGCGAGGTGATTCACTGAATACACTCCGCTGACAGCTTCCCGCGAGCGCATCTTGAAGGAGTGTGATAATAATGACTTCAAGGACGGCGACGTCAAACGTCCTCGCTCTGCTCCTGCAAAGCCCGGGGCTGACAGGAGCAAATACTATCAGTATCGTCGAAGTCACGGGCACCTGACTGAAGACTGTGTTCATCTCAAAGACGCCATTGAAACCCTCATTAAGGGTGGCAGACTCGGGCAATATTTATGTAGTGATGCCCCTCATCGAGATCCTCGCGAAATAAAAGAGGTCGAGGAGGACACTCAACCATCGGATGAAACGGCCCCCGTCCAAATAGCCTTCTTCGTTACAAGGTTGGAGGACTTCTACGTCCCCGACAGACACGAAGAAGAACCTCTGTCCATGCACAGTATGTGGGAAAAATTCCCCTCTGCCATGGTTATAACTGGCGGGGGGTTCAACGACGACTCCATAAACTCTTCAAAAAGGAAGCTCAACGAGTTGGTCGATGCAGCCCCGACTCAAGCGGTGACATTCGAGAAGGTCAAGGACAGATCAAAGCCGATCACGTTCTACCTCGAAGAGTTGCCCGGAGGGGCCCCTAACTTGAGCATCCCTCTTCTGGTAAGGGCAAGAATGGCTAATTTTGATGTTCACCGTGTCTTGGTCGATGAAGGGAGTTTCGTCGATGTTATGTACAACCATTTGTTCCGAACCTTACAGCTCGACGACGCCCACCTTTCCCCATACATGGAGTTCAACCTGAAAGGCTTCAATGGCTCACCTCTAAACCATGGGGGTACGAGGAGCTCTTCGTCAACTTCGGGGAGGAAACCGCCGCCCGACAGGTCAAGGTGCGATTTCTGGTCATCGATTGCACGTCTCTCTATAACTAAATTCGAGGGAGACCAAAGCTAGCTGAATTAACCGTTGTCCCCTCCACTGTTCATCCAAAGATGAAATTCTACACGAAAAGAGGACGCGTCGCCACCATCCACGGCGACATCTCAGCTGCCCGAAGATGTTTCAACGCAGCTTCAAAGGGACAGAGTACGATCGACACCGGGGCACGACCTGCTAAGAAAGTTGGTATTGCTCGACCTGAGCCATAGCCCGTCAAGACAGAAGAACAAAGAGCTCTACCCAAGGTCGACTCCATCTCGCTTGACACCCGCTTCGACAAAGATGAAGCACCCAACAACGAACAAGAACTCCTCCGACCAATCCCAGAAGGAGACTTCGAGTTCGTCCCCCTCGGTGAAGACCCTCACAAAGGCGTGAAGATCAGCGTCAAACTCCACGACCTGGCGAGGAAGTAAATCAAAGCTTGCTTGAGGGAGAATGCAGACCTGTTCGCGTGGAGCACCACAAAGATGCCCTGACTCGACCCCGAGGTCGCCTGTCACCACTTGGCCATTGATCCAACCGCTAGGGAAATAGTACAATGTAGACGTAGGCCGTCTCCCGAGAAAGTAGAGGTTGCTGAAAATGCTGTAAAAGACCTCATAGAGGCTAATTTTATTTCTGAGGCCCGGTATTAAGCATGGCTCTCAAATGTTGTACTTATTAAGAAAAATAATGGAAAATGGAGAATGTGTGTTGACTATACTGATCTTAACCAAGCATGTCCAAAAGACGCTTTTCCTCTACCTAATATTGATATATTGGTCGACAATTCGACTGGATATAAATTTTTATCGTTTATGGACGCCTACTCGGGTTATAACCAAATCCTAATGGAGATGAGCGACAAGCATTGCACTGCTTTCATGACCAGCTCGAGCAATTACTACTATAACGCAATGCCCTTCGGTCTGAAAAATACAGGGGCAACGTGCCAACGAATGATGAATAAATTCTTCCACAATGAGATCAGAGATATACTCGAGGTATACATGGACAACATGATCGTTAAATGTCGAGCAGATACCAACCATGATGCCCATCTCAAAAAGGTCTTTGCCCAAGCGAGACAATGCAGAATGAGGTTCAACCCTGAGAAATGCACCTTCGGGGTTAAGGCGGGCAAATTCCTCAATTTTTATATGACAGAATGGGGAATTGAAGCCAACCCCGACAAATTCTAGGCATTCTACAAGCTCCCTACACCTAGCTCGAAGAAATCTATACAAGTCCTAAACGACATGCTCACCTCGCTCTCCCGATTTGTGGTGAAATCCGCGCAACACACTCTTCCATTTTTCAAACTTCTCCGCAAAGAGGAAGCCTTCGAGTGGACTGAGGAATGTGAGCAAGCCCTCCTCCATATCAAGAAAAGCCTTTTGCAACCTCTCGTGTTGTCGCGACCTGGGGATGGGGAAACACTGTTCCTTTACCTTGTCGTCTCCGCCGAGGCCATAAGCGTGGCCCTCGTTCGCGAGACTCTAGACGGGCAAAAGCTAGTGCATTTCACGAGCAAAGCAGTTCAGGGGCACGAGGTCAGGTATCAACAGATCAAAAAGGTGGTCTTGGCCCTCGTCAATGTAGCCATGAGGCTTAGACATTACTTCTTGGTACACGCAATCATCGTACAAACGCACCAACCCGTAAGACAACTCTTATGCCTACCAGACATGGCATATCAAATGCTGAAATAGTCGTTGGAGCTCTCGGAGTTCGACATCCAGTACGAGAGCAGGAAATCCCTCAAGGCCCAAGCACTGGCCAACTTCGTCGCATAGATGACCGCCCATGACCCCCCATAGGGAAGAAGCACAAGTGGACCGTGTTTGTGGACGGAGCTTCTAGCTCGACAGGAAGCGGAGCGGGAATCCTCCTCGAGAACGAGGAAGGCGTCGTGATCGAACACTCCATCACCCTTTCTTTTCCAACATCGAACAATTAGGCTGAGTATGAGGCACTGCTTGAAGGATTAAGACTGGTCGAGGATCTGGGTGCCTGGGAGATACAAATTTTCACTGACTCCTAACTTGTCGCATCTCAAGTTCATGGGGATACCAGGCTAAGAATAACAGCCTCGTAGAATATTTAAACCTGGTAAGAGAACATATGAAGAAGTTTGACTGGTTAGAGATTGCACACGTGCCCCGCGAACAGAACACGGGAGCCGACATACTTTCAAAGCTCGCGAGCACAAAGAAGAAAGGCGGGAACAAATCCATCATCCAAGAATCCCTTTCTCGCCCGAGCATTGAAAAGTCCACTATACCACCTGAGGTAAATGCCATCGGGGACACCTCATGTTGGATGACCCCGATGTTCAACTTTTTGAAAAAGGGGGAACTTCCAGTGGACCAAAGAGAGGCATCCGCAACCAAACGACGAGAATGGTTCATACGTTGTACTCGAACACAAAATTTACCATAGGGGATTCTTCATCCCACTCTTAAAATGTGTAGAAGAATCCACAATCCACGAGATACTACGGGAAATCCACGAGGGAATCAACGCCCAACACATGGGCGGAAGATCCCTAACACGAAAGGCGCTACGAGCAGGTTACTACTGGCCG